CAGGTGTGTCCCAGTGTTTCCAGAGTTTTCTGAGAATCACACACTTCAGCTTGCTGGTCCCTATTTGCTGCTTTAAATAAATTTTAACCTTTCTTATAGATCATCTTATACATCTGTTCACACATCTTGTATTTTGTGTGGACTATCCAAATCAAAAACGAGCCTTTTTCCTCATTTTGCTCTAAATATCTCTCACTCAACAAATTTCTAGAGAGCAGACTTCACTGAAGATTTCAATAGCAATGACAAAGAGGCTCAGGTGGTCATCCTCAGAGCAGATAGAAAAACTAAATATTCAACTGCTCCTTTTTATTATTTATTTATTTATTTATATGGACAGAATGCCTTTTTTTTGTTGTTGTTGTTAATTTTTATGTGGTGCTGAGGATCGAACCCAGTGCCTCACATGGGCAAGGCAAGAGCTATACCACTGAGCTACAACCCCAGCCCTCAACTGCTCCATTTTTAAGAGTTAAATATGCATTTATGTCACCAGGAAATGTTCACTAACCATTCCTCTACTAGGACTCCAGCCCACATAATGTTTCTGAATTCTCTCTCTTAATTCCTCCTCCTCCTCCCCCCCCTCCTCCTCCTCCTCCTCCTTCTCCTCCTCCTCCTCCTCCTCCTCCTCCTCCTCCTCTTCTTATCTATCTATCTATCTATCTATCTATCTATCTATCCATCTTTGGTCTTCTTAGGCTTCTCAACCTCAGTTTCCAAAGTTTCCATTCCTTTCTTATACAGATGCTGTTGATAAAGGGAAAAGTGATAAGGCTCTCATAACCCAATTGTATCACCTCTGAAAATGCATACATTGTCTAACGTGAACTTTTGGGGGACACCTCAAAAACTAGTGAGCTCTCACATTATATAACAATATTAATAGCTTCATATTGTACTCATTTTTGCAATCCCTACAGAGCCTGGCCCAGTGACTGTCACACAGTAGGTTCTAAGTAAATGCCAAAGAAATTTAATTTGAACAGGGTTGATTTCCTTTGAAAATGGGAATTATTTTTTCATGCCATAATTATTCTTTCAATTCAGATGACTAATCTCATTCTAACAGGTGAATAAGATTCAGAAATATATGATATATATGCTACCAAATAATTTGTTGAATTATTTTTTGGCATTCAAATGTTCATTTCCTTGGAAACTATTTAACAGAAATTTTGTTGAGGGCTGTGGCTGTGGCTCAGTGGTACAGCACTTGCCTAGCATGGGTGAGGCACTGGGTTTGATCCTCGGCACCACAATAAATAAATAAATAAATAAATAAATAAATAAATAAATAAAAGTAAAGGTATTTTATCCATCTACAACTAAAAAAATTTTTTTAAAAATTTTAAGAAATTTTTTTTTATTAATTTAGTAAATAGTCATTAGACACCATCTGTATATAAAGACCTAGGCTGGGAGTTTTTTAGGATCCAAAACTAAATCTCACATAGTCCTACTTCAAGATGGCTGAGTGCCATGGTGCAACAAGCATACAGATAAAAATAGTTAACATATAAGGCAAATGTGCAGCGTACAGATGTTATATTCTCCCAGTTGGTATAGGAATGGTCCAACTAAAACCTTCGGAGGTACACAGGCTGTTGGATACTGGTAGTAGTATTGTGACCATGTGGTCATTGACATTGACACTAGTGGGTTTACATCAAGTTCACAATTATGTTTTTACTGTCTGTTTTAGTTAGCTTTTTCATTGCTGTGACCAAAAAACCTGACAAAAATGATTAGAGGAAGAAAAGTTTATTTGGCTCACTGTTTCAGAGGACTCACTCCGTAGACGGTCAACTGCATAAGTCTGGGCCTAGAGTGAGAGAGAACATCATGGCAATAGGGTGTAGTGAAGGAAAGCCATTCAGGACATCATAATCAGGAAATAGAGAACTATGCTCACAAGGGACAAAATATAAACCCCAAAGCCATACTCCCAGTGACCTATCTCCTCCAGCCACATCCTACCTATCTACAATTACAACTCAGTTAATCCGTATCAGTTGGTTAATCCACTGGTTACATTAAAGCTCTCATAATCCAATTGTATCACCTCTGAAAATGCATATATTGTCTAATGTGAACTTTTGGGGGACACATCATATCTAACCATAACATTTACACGTTTTATTTTGAAAAGCTTATAATTTTAAATACCTTTATAAAACAAATAGAATTTTTGACTTAGAATTCACATTTTCATGGCTTTTATTTTTTATTTATTTTTTTTAAAGAGAGAGTGAGAGAGAATTTTTTTTTTATATATTTATTTTTTAGTTTTTGGCAGACACAACATCTTTGTATGTGGTGCTGAGGATCGAACCCGGGCCGCACGCATGCCAGGCGAGCACGCTACCGCTTGAGCCACATCCCCAGCCCCTTTTCATGGCTTTTATAAATGTTCTCATTTTTTTTCTCAAAAACACAATCAACATTCTACTTCTATCCACTGAGGATATCAAAGATAGCTATGAAATTCAGCTGGACGCCCTCTAAGTCAGTAGCGTGATCTCAGCTAATTGACCACTTCTAAGTGAAAAAGGCCCATTTAGTTGAACCCCATCTAAACACCAAAATCCCTCTGTAATGCTCTTGCCATGTGATTGTGCACCTGGGATTGGCTATTCTCTCCAGTGAAAAAGGCCTCACTACCTCTTCAGGCTGCCCATTCTAATTCCGCACATCTCTCTGAGAAATAACTTTCCTTACAGCATGTGAAAATCTGTTTCTAAACTTATCTTCATCCATTAGTAGCAGTTCTATCCCTTGGGGGGGGGGGGCTCAAAAACAAATCTAATCACTCTTAAACTATAATATTTCCCACTGAGTCTTTTTCTTCTCCAGACCAAAAATCTCCCTCTAGACTAAGAAAAGCCTCAAACAGCACTTCATTGAACTTGATTTGGAGTCCTTTTTCTGGCCTACCTACCTTCTTTGAGACATACTATTCTTCATTCATTTCTCTTTTAAAATATGACATCTAGACAACATGATTCATGGATGTTCTAAACACTATGGAAGAAGACAAGAAAGCCACCTCCTTCATTTTATTTATTTACTTACTTATTTATTTTTGGTACTGAGAATCAAGCCTAAGGGCACATTACCAGGGACTCACATCTTCAGTCCTTTTTATTTAGTTATTTTATTTAGACAGGATCTTGCTAAGTTGCTGAGTTTAGCCTAGAACTTGTGATCCTCCTGCCTCAGCCTTCTGAGTCACTGAATTACAGGCATGTGCCACTGCTCCTGGGACCTCCTTGTTTTAAAAGATACTATTAATACCTCTTAAAAGGATTACTATTTTTGTGGTCCTTTTCAATATTTTTTATATACTGAAATTTATGTACATTAAAATGTCTCTTTCTCACATATGCTGTGCCTGAGCCATATGTACTGGCCATATAGTAAGAGCCTATCATCTGTCATTGTTAGAAGTTATCCCGTATGTATTAATAAAATTAATAAGTATGTTCTTCAGAATTTGTCTAACCATTGATTTAAACTTTTTAAAGTATGATTGAAGGTAGAATCCATAGGATACTTTTACCACCTTCTCTCCTCAGTGATATCAGTTCTGCACATGAACTTCTTGTAGCATGGACATTCAACCAGCTTCTGACCTACCCTGATGTCTTTAGAAAACAAACTTTCCTCAGTTTTCATCAGCTCTGGATATGATAAGGTCCCGTAGAATACAAAGAGCTCTCATTGGTTTTGCTTTTCTCTGCTTTTGCAAATCCTTCTGGGCCAATAGAACATTCTCCCCATCTTCCTCCCTTCAACTCCACCACACCAGCTGAGTATAGTTCTTTTGGATGTTTCCCGTGGTGTCTAGTACTTGGGAATGTACAGGTTTTTTCAGTTCCTTTGTGTCCTCTACTAGGCATCATTGCCAATCCACTGGATACAATTGCTTTGGGTGAGCACAGCAACTATCCCTTCTGGATATAGCGCCTGCTGCCTCTGCTGAGAACCAGTAGATGTGTGCCAAACTGGTTTCTCATGAAGCACTGTTTCCACCTTTGCCAACTCTTGCTCAACACCATTACTAGAATCCTCAATTTGCCAGAGCAGGCTATGGTTTGTGGCAGATTTGGTGAGGCCAACTTTTTCACATTTTGGAGCTACCATCTATTGGAAGGCACAGTGCAGTACTGCCTGGAACCTGACATCTTCATCAGTGTTGTGTGTGCTTTGGTTTTAACGTGACCCCTCCAAAATTCAGGTGGTGAAACTTAACGGTCAATATGATAGTACCAAGGGGTGGGACTTCTAGAGGTGATTAGCTAGCAGGTCCCCACTGTGAATAAAATGGAAGCTCTTATAAGAGAGACTTCACACAGCATTAGGCTCTTATTCCCTGTTTACCTTCTGCCCTATGCCATATGAGAGCACAGTGTTTGTCTTCATCTAAAGATGCAGCAAAGAGGTACCATTTTGGAAGTGAAGAGCATTCCTTACTAGACTACTAAATCCTCCAGCCACCTTGATCTTGGACTTAGCCTCCAGAACTGTGGCCAATAAATCTCTGTTCTTTATAAATTACCAATTTTCATTTGTTTTGGTGTTTGTTTTTTTAAGCAGCTCAGACTGACCAATCTAATGATTTTTTTCCCAAAATCTTTCTTTTAGTTTACATATCTAACTTTTCTCCCAGGGCCTGAACATGAGCTTCTATGGTTGAACTAGGGAGTGGGTCAGATTTACTCTTTCCCTCCAATCATAGGCTTTATTTTCTTATCAAGTTTATAACTGGTTCCCTCTTCTTATTGGATGAACTCTTTCCAAGGATAGCTCAGCATTGATTGATTAGACAAAAAAAAACTTGAACCTCAAATTTACCCTCAACATGTGACCTCTAAAACACACACACACACACACACACACACACACACCCCGTGGGCTCCTTTCTTTTCCTTTTAAAAAAAATTTTAAATTTGTTTTAATTAAAAAACGTGATAGTAGAATGTATTTATGCACTTTAATATGTCATACATAGATGGGATATGATTTCTCATCTTTCTGAGTGAACATGTTGTGGAATCATATTGGTCATGTAGTCGCCTAAATACATTCGGTAATAATGTCTGTTTTGTTCTACTATCTTTCCTATCCCCACATCCCCTCCCCTCCCCTTCCACCACTTATCTCTACCTAATCTAAGATAACACTATTCTTCCCTAGTGCCTCCCGCCTTATTGTGAATTAGTATCTGCATATTAGAGAAAACATTCAGCCTTTGGTTTTGTGAGATAGGTCTATTTCGCTTAGCATGATATTCTCCAACTCCAACCACTTACTGGCAAATGCCATAATTTTATTCTTCTTTAAAGCTGAGTAATATTCCATTGAGTATATAGACCACATTTCTTTATCCATTCATCTATTGAGGGTACTTAGGTTGGTTCCATAGTCTAGTTATTGTGAATTGAGCTGCTATAAACATTGATGTGACTGCGTCACTATAGTATGCTGACTTTAAGTCCTTTGGGTATAAATCAAGGAGTGGGATAGTTGGATCAAATGGTGGTTCCATTCCAAGTTTTCTGAGGAATCTCCATACTGCTTTCCATAGTGGTTGCACCAATTTGCAGTCCCACCAGCAATGTATGAGTGTGCCTTTTTCCCCATATCCTTGCCAACATTTATTGTTGCCTGTACTCTTGGTGATTGCCACTCTGACAGGAGTGAGATGAAATCTTAGAGTAGTTTTGATTTGCATTTCTCTAATTGCTAGAGTAATTGTATTTCTTCTTCTGTGAGGTGTCTGTTCAGTTCCTTAGCCCATTTTATTGATTGGGCTATTTGGTTTTTTTTGTTTGTTTGTTTGTTTGCTTGTTTGTTGGTTGGTGTTAAGTTTTTTGAGTTCTTTATACATCCTGGAGATTAATGCTTTATCAAAGGTGCATGTGGTAAAGATTTTCTCCCAATCTGTAGGCTCTCTCCTCATGCTATTAATTGTTTCCTTTGCTGAGAAGAAGCTTTTTAATTTGAATCCATCCCATTTATTAATTCTTGATTTTACTTCTTGTGCTTTAGGAGTCCTGTTAAGGAAGTCAGAGCCTCGTCTGACGTGGTGAGGATTTGGCCCTATTTTTTCTTCTATTAGGTGCAGGGTCTGTTTGAGTGTCTAAATCTTTGATCCACTTTGAGTTGATTTTTGTGCAGGATGAGAGACAGAGTTTTAATTTCCTCTTGCTACATATGGATTTCCAGTTTTGCCAGTACCATTTGTGAAATAAGCTATCTTTAATCCACTGAAAGAGAAATTAGGAAAACTACTCCATTCACAAAAGCCTCAAAAAAAAAAAAAAAAAACAAAACCAAACAAAAAACCTTGGAACCGATTTAACAAAAGAGGTGAAAGACCTCTAAATAAAAACTACAGAACACTAAAGAAAGAAATTGAAGAAAACTTTAGAAAATGGAAAGATCTCCCATGCTCCTGAATAGGAAGAATTAATATTGTCAAAATGGCCATACTACCAAGAGCACGATTCTTCATAGAATCAGAATAGCTAAAGCAATCCATAGCAAGAAAAGTGAAGCAGGAGGCATCACAATACCAGATCTTAAACTATACTACAGAGAGCTATAGTAACAAAAACAGTATTGGCACCAAAATAGACTTGTAGACCAATGGTACAGAATAGAGGACACTAAGACAAACCCATATAAATACAATTATCTCATACAGTGGGCTCCTTTCCATGTGTATGTCCCATGAAAAACTTTACTTTCAATTATCTTATTTTGGTCCTCAAAAAAATCCATATGAGGCAAATATTATGATCACTGTTTCATAAATGGGGACACTAAGACTCTTAAGAGTTTCTGTGACTTTCTAAAGGCCACATAATAAGATAAGGAAAGAAGTGTGACTTAACTTTAACTTTTAATTGCCATATTATTTTCCCTTCATGTATCCAGTCCTTCTTCCTCTTTGGTCTCCCCAAATTTCAAGCAATGAGACATCTTTATTCTTCAGTTCCACATCCATATCCATTAATCAAAAATCCCTGTCAAAGATAGACATGAGACTATTTCATTATGACCTGTTCTTGGTAAAGACATCCTAGGTCTTGGATAATATGAAGTTTTTGCAAAATCCCCAGGGAAAATCTGTATAGCACCATATTGTCAAATAGTTTCCTTGATTTATGTTTTTTTATTTCTTTTCAGGTTAGAAGAAAACTTGTTCAAATTTAGTCTTCTGGTACCTCTCATTCCTACTAGTTCCTGAAAGACTTCCAACTTGGCTTGCAGTGACCAAATTTACAAGACTTTTCACAACCTGGAATCTAAGTTTTCTCTAGTTCCATACCTTAAAAGAATCTGTGATTCCTTCTTTCACTGACTGAATTCAAATACTTGTTAATTACTTATGCTATGTATAAGGTCAGGTGAAGGAGGTACAGAAACCAGACCTTGGGGTCCCCTGTCTTAAGAGGCCCAGTCTAGTGCAGCTGACAAACACATAAAAACTTAGTAGTCATCAGTATGATAGAGGCAGGAACAGAATCTATGGCCAAAAGGAGGCCCTGAGAAGATATGAGGGTTAATTCTATCCTGAGGCATCTGGGGAGATTAAACATGGCTACTGTCTGTTATACTAGGTCCAGAAGGATGACTAGGAATTTTCAAAGTAAAATTTAAATGCATGAAAGTAGTTATCATAATTATTAACACAAATCACTTTCCTTAGATAACACAGCCAACAAAATTTTCTACTCAAGAGACCTAGTGAATTTTCTCCTGCTATCATATTTATTCCAAATGCCTCAGTCTAACTAACCTTCAAGACTTGCATTAGTTTGATTCACTGATTCACTCAACCAATAGGTTGAATTTATTTATTGTGATTCTACTATGATCTGAGCACTTTTCTAGGCACTTATTATACAATAGAAAATAAAATAGAAAGCCTTCACCTCAAACTTAATCTCAACTGTGCCTCTGGGAAGCTCACCTGCTAGTAGAAGATGATAAAAATAAATACATATGTGTATATACATACATACATAAATAGAAAATCAGATATGTGTGATAAGTGCAGAAGGGAAGATGGGTCGATGAATGCCAGGCAGAGGTGGAGGGGTGGTCCAGGAAGACCTCCATGAGAAGATATCATTTAAATAAAGACCTTAAAGAAATAATGGTATTAGTGTGGCCTTGACCCCTCAAGGCCAAGGAAGTCCTAAGTGGAAAGGTTCTGAGGCAGGAGTGTTGGGTCATGTCTGAGCAATAGCTGGAGTCCAGTTAGGGTGGAATCAAATAAGTGAGATGGGCAAGAGGGGTGAGCAAGGCCAACGGATCAGACACTGCAAGGACTTTTACTTTATTCTGAGTGATACAGGAATGACTGCAGGGCTTTGAGCAGAGAGGTAAGGTGACCCAATCCATCTTCATAGGATCGTTCTGGCTGCAGTCATAGAAAGACTGAGAAGGCAGTGAGGGCAGACATAGGAACAGAGGAGAGGCTGCTGAACTATTCCAGGTGACAGATAATGGACCAAGCTAGGTTACGATGGTGATATAAAAGGATAAATTTTAAGTATAAAAATTTGGGGGGTACCAAAGATTAAACCCAAGATCACTTAACTACTGAGCCACTTCCCTAGACCCCCTCTTTTTTATAGTTTATTTAGAGACTGATTCTTGCTGAGTTGCTCAGGGACTCGCTAAGTTGCTGAGGCTAGCTTTGAACTCACAATCCTCTTGCCTCAGACTCCAGAACTGCTGCGCCATTGGAGGTTAAGGCTTCCATAGTTGAATTTTAAATAAATTGATTTGGCCCCATAATAGGGAGTAATAAGCTTATTGACAGAAATTAGCGGAGATTATTAAAGCAATGAACATATGAAAAGGGAGACAAGGTGTGAGGCTGAAGCTCCAGTGCCCTTCTGTGTTTAGAAATCAGCAAGAACAACACAAACCAGCCAAGGTGAAGAGGAGTGGCCAGTGAGCTGGAGGAAATCCAGAAATGTGTGATTTCCTAAGAGCCTAGCAAAGGGGAAGCTTCAAGAAAGAGTGCGTCATTTACATAGTTAAATGCTTCTGAGAGACTAGGAAGATAAGGGTTGAGAAGTGACCACTGAATTTAGAAACATGGATGACACTGGCGACTTGGATGAGAGCAGTTTGGGTTATTTGGAGGAAAAGAAAGGAGGTCTGGAGTGAACTGTGCATTGAAAACAGATTGTGACATACAATATCACCAATTCTTGAGTATCGCCACAAAAGGAGAATAGAGAAATAAAGAAGAAATTTAGGGGCAAAGAGGGGTCACAGCAGGGATTATTTTAAGACGGGGATATAAATAGCAATGGTTGCATGCTAACTGGATTGGTGCATCAGACAGGAGGAAGGGGATAATGCAGAGGAATTGCTGGAGGATGTCCTTGAGCAGCAAGACTCAAGGCTACTCATGGTATCAGGTAGCACAAGTGAGGGGTTTTCCTTATCTAGGAACCTGAACATCAAATGCAGAGCACAAAGGTGGTTGTAAAGGTTATGGAATTTCCCTTCTGAGTCTGCTTGGGAGGGGAGAGATTGGATATTTGAGGAAAGAAAAAGGGTGTAAAATAATTGTCTAGGCCAGAAGGAAAGTGAATGGTGTAGGGAATGATAGTGGAACTAGCAACCAACTCTGAGAGCAAACTTGAAGTTTAAGCTAAGGCCACTCACCATCGTGGTATATTTTTTCCCCAGCCATCTTCAGCTAGGAAGGTAGAGGTGCCATTAGACTGAGTTAAATTTAATCAGGGTTGGGTTTTTTTGTTTTGTTTTGTTTTGTTTTCAGACAAGTCCAACAAGGAGAGAAGGGGTAAGAGAAAATGCTACAAAAGGAAATTACTTTAATGATGGACTTTGGAATCTCCACTAGGGAAGAAGAGAGACAAGGACATCATTCAAGGGAGTGACAGTAAAGTGGTGATAGGATCAAAGGAGATGCATGCTAGTGAAGCAATTGAATTGCTGGAGTCAGAGTACTAAAGAGAGAGAGCTGAAAAGACAGAGGGGTTAGTCAGAAAGCTCTTTTCTCATCTCTCCTAAATGACAGTTGTATTGCAGAAGCAGGGACTAGATATTTACTTATTTGTCTATTCCCAGAAGTCTCTATTCAAAAGTTCATATAATAGACATCACCTGATGAGTGGCCCATTACTGTGCTTCCAATTTGATGATGACTTTCAGGAGACAGCAGGAGAAGAGTGTAGCTGTACGATCAGAGGAGCAAGATCATTCAAGTTCAAGTTTAGACTTTGCCTTTTGCTCTTTGCAGTGGGCTCATTTCTTAACTATTGTGAGCTTCACTTGGCTCATCTGTAATGTGAAGAAAATAAATAACTGCCCTGTGGTTATTATGAAGATCAAATGTGATAAGGTATGTGGAAGTGCTTTGTAAACCAAAAGGCCAATTAACAATAGCCTGAAATAGTCGCAAGATCATGAATCATCCAGTGAAGGGAGAAACATCAGCAGCCAAGGACTTTTGAGGGGGACTTCTGCTCTGCTTTCAACGTCCATGACTAAGTCAAACATCATGCTTGTCGGGCTCCAGGCTCTGCACTTTTCTCATTTATTCAGCCCCTTTATTTCATGCTCTAAAGCTCTATGTCCTATCAGAGAAGGAAATAAAAGGGGAAAGGGGGAACCATAGAGGAGTGGTAGATGGGAGGATGGAAATAACAGTTTCAAACCACCTATGTATACCAGGCACTTTGCAAAAACTCTCACTTATTCCTCTCTCCACTGGTATTCAGTATAACTCTTCCAGTTTACAGATGAAATAATGTACTCAAAGTTTGCTATTTTGAACCAAATGACACAATGAGGAAATGGTGGAGTAAGGAGTTAACATCTTCTCTTTTTGAATCCAAAAACCAAGGCTTTCTTGGGGTAAAGAAAATCCCAAGCAATTTCAATACCCCTCCCCCCAAAAAAAATTACTTCTGGGAGGCTTGTTTTTTTAAATCTCAAATTTTCATTTCTCTGTGTTGCATAAGTTCCCAGAACAGGAAGAGCATGTAATCAAAGAGAAGAAGCATTTTAAAATAGTAAAATTACTAAAATTCTTAGAGCAAGGAGTTATTAACCCAAAGTGAAAATCACTTAAGTTCTACTTAGCTTCTCATTGGCTCAGAATTTCTCTGCTAGAAGTTTTATGGCCCCATAAGAGAAAGAAAGAGCAATGTACAAGCAGCTCAGATTCCTTATGAGGCATCATGATATTGAGTGGTCTCTGGTCAGGATATCTACTTTTGAAGAAGTATTGGCTTAAAGGGAAATGCCACAATTTCTCCTGGCTCTTAGAGCTTGCTGGGCCCTGCTGAGAGGTTCTCACTTAGGATTTCTCCATGAGTTTAGAATCAGGTGTTGACCAGGCTGTAGCCATTTGAAGGGTCAACAGGGATGAACATCCAAAATGACTCCTCTCCTGACTGACATTTGGTGCTGACTGGTGACAGGGGGTTCAGTGAGCACATCAATCACAGGGCCCATGTGTGACCTCTTCATACAGCTAGGGCTACTCACAGCATGGTGGCTGGGTTCTAAGCACAACAGTTCCAAGAGTGAATGCTCCATGAAGTAAGAGACAGACACTTCCAGTTTAGGTCAGAGCCGTGCTGGGAACTGGCATAGCCTCGCTTTGGCTGTGCTCTATTAGTCAAGGCAGTCACAGATTCCACCTGGATTCCCAAAGACAGAGAAATCAGCTGTATTCTCTTAGTGGATGAAAGGCAGGTCACACTGCAGAAGAAAGCAGGAGATGGGAGATATTGTTGCTTCCATCTTTGGAAAATGCAACCTGCCATAGTCATCAACCCAGTGACATGCCTGAAGTCAGCATGGCCTCGCAGTCAGGCCAGTTTCTGGCCTTGGAGTTGGATCTAGCCCACACCAGCCTCTCTGCCCACATCTCACACCATGTGCTTGCTAGGCTGCAGCTACACTCTCTCTTTTCATTTTTACCCCAGAGTTTAAGCACAAAACGCCTAATGCTTAGTTCTTCTCATTCAGCCTCCCTCTTATCATTCAGGTCTCTGCTCAAATGTCACTTTTCCTGGGAGAACTTCCCTGACTAATCCATGACTTCTTTATGTCCACTATAACCTTTGTGTTTTTGCTTTCTTATCTACCATCTCTGTCCCACCACTAGAGCATAAGTCAGTGACTTTGTCTCTATTTTGTCTACTATAGTATCCCCCAGAGCCTACACTAATGTCCACTGCATTGTGGACAGTACATTTTTATTGAGTAAATAAATAAAGGAACAAATGAATATCCCTGCCAATCACAAGCCAATGAGTGCTTAGATTCTTCCTATGATGGGATTCTGCACTGCTAGCTATTTTATCTTTAGAATCTTAGACAACTCCTGGATGATGTTATCAAATTACCTAACTAGTCAAAAACGTCCATTATTATTTATTAATAAGGAGTTTTCAAACTGTAATTCCAAGTGCTTTAGCTCTGCCATTGAACATCTCCCCACTCCCAGGGAGAGGCTAAGGGAGAGAAAGGGGAAGAGGAAACCGGTGTTGGGAATGGGGGGGCATCATCGTTTTCATCATCAATCCTTTCATTTGTTCTATTTATTGGGGTTTTGTGCAAGATTTAATTTGGAAAACAGTTACAGTGCTAAAAATTAAACCAGATGATCTCTTCAATTCTGTTCTATGCTTTCATGGTGATATTTCTCAACATGAGGCCTTCCAACTCTCCTACCTCATAGTTAATACCTTGGATACCTACACAAAATTCAGATTCTATGGATCCTACTGAATTGAAACTTCTGGCCATGTTACTAAGGAGTTTGTATTTTAACAAACACATTAAGGAATTCTTAGGTACTTTAAAGTTTGGGAAATACTGCTTCATGAAGAGAGAATAATCTGGAAAAAAATAGAGAAATAAACTGTCATGCAAATAAAACATTCTTTCCTTGCAGGAGACTTCTTGCAAAAGTAACATCTGTTCTCAGCATATACAGAATTTTTTGGAGGAGTGGGCATGGCTGATTGACCTTAAAATATCCAGAACGTGTATTTTCTTTCATAGAGGCCCTGACTGGTCCCACTAATATTTCTCTTTAGCCCAGTAATTGAAGCTGTCACGCATATATGTGTACACACACGCGCGCAAAATGCCTGTGGCCAGCATCACAGCCAACCTATCACCTTACTCAGCTGAGTCCTGCCAGTTAAGCACTTGTCAAGTGGTATAAGAGCAGGGCCCTTAAAATTGCAAGCATAAAACAGCCAATAAGAGTATCGTGTTCAACTAAGTAATAAGAAAAAAAAAGCCGAGACCAAAAAAAAAAAAAAGCTGCAAAGTTTTCTTTGTGATCATTGTTTAACACTGTATGTAATTAAATATTAATGAAAGTATGCTACTTTCATTTTGTGAACAATTTAATTCAATTAAAAATAAATGGGTCTCCTTGGCTCAGTGGGCATACTGATATACAGAACAGTACTGCCCTTAACTTGGTTTCCACTGTGTTTGAATCCAGCATTGAGCAAAGCTACTGAAATACAACCCCAGGCTAAGGCCTGCTTAACTCCTTACAACCCAAGAGCAGGCCTCTACCAGTCAACTGAGTACTGCTCTGCAGCATTCACTAACTACAAAGCATAATGCAGTTTAATTTAAAAAGACGTTTTTATCAAGCATTTGCTTTGTGGGATGAAAAGACATTTAAGACATCCCATAAAAGTCAAAACTGCTAATCTCAGGGAGCCAATCTGTGCATTGGTTTGTAATTGCGTGCGCAATCACACACACACACACACAATCTATATCTATCTATTGTATATGTGTGTGAGAATGAGTGTGTGGACACACACGCTGGGCTGCACACTTAAGATTAGTGCACATAGCCCCAGCACGGTTATCTATTCCTGTAATGCTCAGGAACTGAGGCAGGTGGATTGTTAGGTTTGAAGCCAGACTGGGCAACTTAGACCCCATCTGAAAATTTTGAGACCCTATCTTAAAATAAAATAAAAATGGCTATGGGTACAGCTCAGTGGTAGAGCAACCCTGGATTCAAACCCCAGTAGTGAAAAAAAGAAATAGTTCACTTTACACAAATATTTTATACCTCAATGGGGAGAAAAGGAGATTTCTTCTACCCTGGAAGACCTTGCACTCTGGCATTATTAGGCACCATGAGAGGCTACATGGACATCAAGAAACCTCCCACTTAACATCTGGCTGGGAAAACTCATTTTTAAAACTTAAGGGCATTTATTTTATGATAAAAACATACTCCGATCTTAAAGTATCCTTAGGAAGAACTCAACAAACAAGAAGTAGGGTAGTACATTTTTGTGTTCAGGGTCATCAGCAATAGGGGCTCCCTGGGTGTGGGAGTTTCGAGGTTTGGAAGGTGGGGGGAAGAGGAGGGAAGAGACATTGGGGACACAGAAAGTGGCATGGGCCAGAATTAAAGTGTCAGGGAGGCAGCAAGGGAAGTGGCAGGGATGACCCTGGGTCCTACCTCCTGCCTAAGGGGTTGGCCAGGGAGTGGGGTGGGAGGTGGGTCGTGATGGCAGGAAGTGCCAGGGTGGGGCAAGGGGCAGATGATCGCTGGTCCTGGGCACCGGTTCCAACCCAGGTTCCCGGATGAGTCTCTGGGAGGAGCGGGAGGTAATGGATCCGCGCCACAGCGATAGCTGGCGCTTCTCTTTCATTTCACCCAGAAGAGCCGTTGTTTGGGAATGAACTCGGGCATTCCAGAGGCCACGTCTAATAATAACAATGTTATCAAGGCTGCGAGGCTGAAGCGAGCCCGAGTGTGTGTGTCTCCGGGTACCCAGGGGCCAGCGCCCAGCTCTGAAAGGAGAGCTGGGTCCTTGTGAATGGCAAGGAAAATGCCAATCTGTTGAAAAAAAGTTCGCTGCTAAAAACGAAACCCCGGCCAACATTTTACAACCTGGACACATTGTTAATGTGGTGGTTTATCTGGCAGGAATAGGAAGCTGTATTTGAAAACAATGCATCCTTTTTAGGTGCAAGGTCAGCTTCTGTGGGACCTCAGGGTTACAGTCACCACACTGCCACCCCCATGGGAGAACAGCCCCAAAGCTAGGCCATCAGCTTCCTGGGCGGAGGTGGGGGGACACTTACTGGCACAGGACTGAGGGAAGATGCTATGCAAGAGGGCTTTGGGGGAGCCCACCGCACACAGGCCCCATTAAGCCCTGTGAACCCCACCCCTACCAGCTGCCGGAACAGGTAGAGGGAGGAGAATCCAAAGGAGCCTCCTGGAAACTACTTCTCAGTAAGAAAGAAAACGCCAGGTGCTTGAGCCAGCCCTGAGTGAGATAGCTGACTCCTTCCCTTTGTGACTTGAACAAGAAATTTAACCTCCCCAATCTCCAGTTTACTCCCCTGCCAAAGCAGATTGAAAATGATGCCCACCATAGAGAGCTGCAGTGAGGACTGTGCACAAAAGGGACACAGTGAGCTCGGTGCCTGGCCTAGGCAGGGCCAGCGCCCAGTGAGGGGCCTTTGGACTGGCTGTTCCCTCTACCCAGAACATTTATTTTCCTTTCCCTCATTTCCTACAGGTCCCTTCTCTGTTTTATTTTTCTCTATTGTGTTTACCTGATACACTATGGCTCTTACTTTTTTAATCTTATTTACTATCTGTCATTCCCAGATCAGAGGAAAGCTTTGAGAAGATTTTGTATTTTGTCTACTGCTGAATCCCTGGAACCCAGAATGCCTAGATCAGTGTCCAGTATGTAATGGTTGTCCAAAAGTATTGAATAAAGGTTGTCTTCGTTCATTTTCTGTTGCCCAGAGCACCTGAGACTGGGTAATCTTTAAAAAAAGAAAAATAGATTTATCGGACTGACAGTTCTGGAGACTGGGAAGTCCAAGGGCTTGGGACTAGCATCTGTGCTTCCTTATTTCATGGTAAAAGGAGGAAGGGCAAGAGAGGGTGAGAGCTAGAAAAATAAGAGAAGGCTGAGCTCTCTTTTCTAACAGTCTACTCTCATCATAAGCACTCCCAAAGTGATGACAAAATTTATTCAAGGAGGCAAAGACCTCATAATCTAATTACCCTTCATTAGGCCCTATCTCTCAACACTATTGCATTGGGGTTTAAGTTTCCAAATCATGCACTTTAGGGAGCACATGCAAACCATACCAATGATGATAAAGATGAGGGTCATAGTGTCAAAAGTCCCCAGTTAACCTTCTATTTTCAAATTTCTTTGAGTCAGCACTCTCTACTATAAGCAACTGAGAGGCAAGAGCTGTATCTTTTAAGACTAGATTTTCCACAGCCATAGACCATTTTTAAATTTTTTATTTTATTTTTTTAGAGAACAAAAAACAAGAAAACCAGTTAAATGTCAATTTCAGACAAACATTACATTTTTAGTATAAATGTATCCAAAATTTGCGTAAGACATACTATAAGATTGTTTATCGGAACATTGTTTATCTGAAATTAAAATTTAGCTAAGTACCCTGCATTTTATCTGGCAACCTATCTGTAGATCTTTTGCAGAGTAGACTTGAACCAAGTACTTGCTACATGAGTGACTAATATGTTCAAAATCCAGAGAAATCAGAGCAAACCTAAATAAAATTAAAAAGTCAGGCTCAGAGAAGTTCTAAAATTTTTAAGAACTAGTTTTTCATGGGTAGGAAAAAAGCCTTGATCT